GACAAGTCACCCTAACAACGATGTAAAGCACATATGCCAGTGAGAAATACTATTGCTGTGGGTTGCTTCTCCGTTATCCATTTACATAATATATTTTCGCCTAAAACACGTTATCACAATGCAATGATTTAGTTAGAGGTTCTTCCCAAAGACACCCACTCATCGGAGGCCATACAAGGAAACGCATACATCAATAATGTTTATTGGGGTCTTAAGGTTATGGCGTTATTGATGTTAGAACAGCTTTAGAATCCTTTCTGCTACAATGAGTATCACACTGGGCAATATTAATAAAAAATGTCGATAGTTTAGAACTGAACACAAAAACTCCCATTTTCGTGCCACACCTCGACAATGTATCGCTCATGTCGTGATACTGCTACAAAGGTAATGATACTGACTGTATTCATATCGAGACTGGGGACAGGCTATACACTCGATTTAAGCTAAATCAATTAAACCTGTTTCACACTTCTATAAGGATAAGCTCATGTTGGTTATTAATACTACAAACTACAATAATATAAGTACCACTCTTAAAGTGTAAAATGGTAAGTAATTATCTTGAAGTTCACGCATCGTGTGTTTAATGGTTGACCCACTGACAGACTTAGACATAAATTTGCAGACGGTGCATAACTTTCGGTGCATAATTACACCTTGTTGGTATTCAAAACTTCGGTATTAAAGTATGAATGCCAATCCTCATCAGGTTACTATTGTACACGTCTAACATTTCCATAGCTAATAGAATGTCATAGTTCATCGCACTCATATCTATATCTTTTCGACTTTTGGTGTTAATGTCTCTAGCAAAGCCTGAACAAGCTGGGCGGCGGGGACTGCGTGGACATACACCATGAGATAATGTGCCTAATGTCTGTCGTATTATATACGAAGCTTAATAATAAAATAATGGGAATAATATTAATAATATTATATTAATAATAAATAGCAATAATATATAAGGAGAACTAGTTACTGAAAGTTCACTCTCAGTACAACACAAGGATAACAGTTGAGGGCAAATGTCAATCGTCAACGCCAGATAGTAACCAGTCTCAGTTATCCGCCGAAACATTTTCCTTTGGGCGTATAAGGCAAAATAGCATTGAAAACTTAAGTATATTAATAGACCACTGAAATTCAGTGATGATGAGACCAGGTGTTCGCGGAAAGCGAGAGTATGCCTTCCTTGCCTTAACGGTAACAACCGCTACTCAAGGTTTTGTTTAAGCAAAATGTAACTGATGCACTTATTATGATATATAGTAGTCTATAATAATAGCTCGGATTATACAGATCTGTCGCGTCCTTTTATCCCCCTTACATACTTAACACCTAGACGAACAGAAAAGTTGGTTAAGCGTCTTATAGAAGACATACACTACACGTGTTAACTGATATGACTTAACTCGCCATCTGTAACAGATGCTAAACCGTATTGTACACTGACGCATTGTTTATGATATGAATACGTTCAAACGCATGCCAAGCGCGCAGTCCGTACAAACTCCTCATGTCCTTCCTAGAAGGCTCTGCCAGAACCTGCCAATGACGATTACCATCTTACACAAAAACACAATAACGTGTTATTTCTGCTTTGCAATGCACTGTCTACAAAACTCTAACTGTCCTGAATTCCCACACATAAATAGATATTATTATGTTGGATTGAATGGATTTATCACATGCTGTTCGAAAATAGCGGTTTCAGGGAAGTACGATAAATGCTATAATCATTGAGCAAAGGTAAACTGACTTTACAACGTTTATGGTTGTGGTCTGGTTTGTTGGCGGTAGTTCTGTAAAATGCTAACATTACATTTTTATTTCCAAATCACTTTTGTATGTCGCGTCAATCTTCCTCTTATATGTATAACAAATCATCCTGAAAACTGGCACCGGGTAAACTTATGCAAGTGAGAGGTGAGGTGAGGTGAAATGGGGTTTAACATCGCGTCCAAGCGTATAGCTGTTATATAGCGACGTGCATGTACGTGTGTGTGTTTGTGTGGCTGCTTTTACTAGTCCGGACTGATGCCGATTTATAGTGCTAGCTCACTGAGATACCATGCCGCAGTTTAACATGAATACCCCACTCAGACACAGTATACTGACTCCGAGCCGACCAGTCCTTGTTTTAGCCCCTTAATGCCGAGCGCCAGACAGGGTAACAACAAGTACCATCTTTTAACGTCTTTTGGTATGACGCGGCCGAGGATCGAACCCCGGACCTTCCGCTCTCCGGGCGGACGCTCTACCACTAAACCACGGAGGCGGTCTATGCAAGTGAGAAATGTTATTGGCTTTGTGTGGCTTCTGGGTTTATTCATTTACATAATAAATTACTTTTTCTGACTTGAAGTCTTTCTTGTTATTATTTGGATTTTGTCACGCGGCACTCTGCAATATTCAACTGTGAGACCACACCCTGTAAACTAAATGAGACTGAACAAGAAAAAAACGGGGATTGATAATATGAGCAGCAACATATACAATCGGGGTACGATTGCACGCAATCAGCCAAATCGCCGAGCCGACCTTGACCACCGATCTGTTTAGAGTAACGTGACAAGAGATTAAAAAGGACCTATTGCCTTAATAGTGCCGGTATCCATTGAAACATGTGTCCCGTTTGGTGCAACATCCATGTTTAGTCATACGAGTTGAAATTGACATTAAAACGAACATCATCATTTTCACTATTGACATCTCAGATAATTTCCATTTTTCCAACGACTTTCGTTATTGAGTTAGAAACCGTAGAGTATGTTGATGCATTCAATTGGCTAGTAATACCTTGTTGACGGCGTGTCCAGTAACGGACAACGAACAAGACTTATCTGTACAAAAGGCCTGTGCGATTCATTACAAACAGTGACAATCGGTATTCGTATGAGATAGCTGAGGATTAACGTATGACCCAGAATTACCCTGCAATTCAGCTTTTCTCGACATGGGTTTGACTGTCGCGGCCGTGTAGACATTTCCCCCTGAGGGAGCGTTCGCAGTTGATTATTGATCGACTACCGAACCTCCATCCATGGACCAACAGTCTGGTGTATAAATGACCATTTGAGGAATGACTTATCTTATATTCACAGTAAGATGTTTCGGGATGCCCTGCTCAAAAATGACTGTGTCCATCGAAGTTTAAAATAATGTCAACAAAGAAATATGTTATTTTTATGTTACGATCTCCTCATAAACGGCCAGGTAGACCTTAATATCAACACATGCAGGTGGCTCTCTTTTCATTGATCTACGCAAACATGATATATTCTGTTAATACCCCAAGGAAGACGACATATTGATAGGTTCTTGGGCGAGGAGACTCATATTACTCGATGCCACAAACAGCCTTTCATATCTATTTATACATGGGGGGACTTTATGATAGGGACTCAGCGGACAGAAACAGTAACACATACAAGCTGAAAAGTTCCCTTTTGATAAGCTATGCCGTGGAATCATGAAATATTCTAAAGCGCATGTTAACAGAAAACTAGCAGAGTAAACCAGCAATAAACACCTGGGAATTATTGGATTGATCGCCACCGTGTCAAAAGTTTCGCACGTGCTGTTTTCAATTATGTAGAATCTTGTTACTATTTGCCAACGTGGAACAACTGAAAACGCGAATTATCGAATATATTATTCATAAAACATTCATCGCGCGTGCTGCGTTAACAAGTGATTTTAGTCTACATGCAAACCAGGACCATTCTCATGTTGGGATTATTCCTTTAGAATTATAACAGTGGCTGATTTCGCGAGCGCCACCATCGGCAGTGATGGTAGCAGGCGAACGGCCCAGCATTAATGAAAGGGTTCAAATGAAATACACACGTGGAATACGTTTATAACTGCACTATCAGTGCAGGTGGGCCGATAATCTCCACAATAGAGGAAAAACGTTGAAATACATTCATATCAACAGAAATAGTGGCATGAGTTAATTACAGAATTCATTGGCGACGTAGACATCAATGTAGTGTTGGACCAAAACGACCGGTCATGCTTTTATCCTACAGATTGCCACCGTAGTGACAGGTTATCATCCGCCCACACAGTGTAAATTATTTCGTTATATAATAGCACAGTGGATGAGACGGAATGCTTCAATCAGACGCACGTGTCCTCTAATGACACGGGGTGACATAGCAATGGCGTGTGTTCCGACTACCTTTGAAGATCAAGGATATTGTTTTCTTCTGACGCTACAATTTGGCTTAACACATAACACGACATATGTTTTATGAATGCGCTGTCAGTGGCGTTATATATACCCAATATAAAACGACCATCAATCAGATTTACTGATTATACTGCTATATTAATTATATATACTATTTATAGCTGCGTGCAAAACTGTTATTGTGGAGAGTTTACTATGGAGGGCTGTCTACCAGTGGAGGCAGTTATGCTAATGACCACCTACTGGACACTGGTGATTTGAAATCGTTGCAAGCTACAGGCTAGTGTGCTTGCGCTTGTTTCAAGCTCCTTTTAAACTCCAAATTCCTTTGGATGTATTCAAACTGACGAGTCTACCGTCGTGCTGAAGTGTTGTAATCGTAATTGATTTGAACAATTCAATAGTTAATGGCTATGTACTGTTTTGTTGATGTATATGCACTTTAGTAATACTAGCATTGTCCGCGCCAAACGTAATACGATCCTTTCTGTCACGTCACTCACTCACTCACTCTCTCCTCCTCAAGTTTATCGACTAGTTGTTCTTTATCGTTAACGTTTGCGTCTTAAGTACGTGTGAGTATGAGAAGCATTCAAACTCAATTACAGCAGTGTAACATTATCGACTAGTTTGTCAATAGCTGTCATGCCCGTCGTGTGTTGCATGAGAGATTGTATAACAGACAATGTACTGTTTTTCACACCCAATTGTAATAATATTGAATAAAGGGAAAATGTGTTACGTTATCGACAGAAACGCACAAGTACCATACCTTTGAATGGACGAGCCACACGATGGATGAAAAGCAAAGAATTTTAATATCACAGGTCTGTTTGTGGCAAAATTTAACACGCACCGTATGATAGGTCCTCGTGAAAATGTTCACAGTTTACCCATGTATCAGAATGACCATGTCAAGAGATCCGTCCCGCGGAGCTTGTGGACATTCGAATGTCGGCTCCAGAATTTTTCTTCATGTCCGTGTATGCTGTGTTAAGTGCTTGGGTTGTTGGGTCGGAGCCATCACATGGAATCATGCTTTCGATTCTTAGCAGTTTCTTAAATGCAGTGCGGAAGTCCCTGTTGAAGTAAGCGTATAATATAGGATTGAGGCAGGAGTTGAAATAGCCAATCCAGAACAGCATTGACCCAATCACTGGGGGATATGGGCAGCTCTCGTCACACATTGTTGTAATAACATACCACGAAAAGAAGGGGAGAAAGCAGAGAATAAAAGCCCCCATTATCACCCCGAGGGTTTTCGCCGCTTTGTGTTCTCGTTTCATTCTCTTTCTTTCAAGACGGGGTACGCCGTCCGCACCCCCTCGGAGCGTGCCGTTGCTATGACAATCACGTGCATCACTATACTGCATGTACATTGCAGTTGATTGAATGAACTTTTCCTGTTTTCTCGCCTCCATGTAGATTTTGGCGTAAACGAACACCATTATAAAACAAGGGATCCAGAAGGAGACACACGATGAAACTCCGGCATAAACCTTGTTCACAATGAAGGTGCACGTCTCATGGTCGTGCTCCAACTTCTCGTAGTTCTCAACAGTCGTATAAAGTTGTGAATGAACTGGTATACATGAAATAAGGATTGATGCAACCCAGGTTATAGTTAACATCGCCGCCACACGATGTCTAGTCATTTTATTCTCGTACTGAAGTGGATGGATGATAGCAATGTAACGGTCCATACTAATGCAGCACAGATGAAGGATTGACGCCGTGCTGAAGAGGACGTCATTGCCGTTGAAGATGTCGCACATTGTCCGCCCCAAAACCCACTTACCACTGAGTTCCATACTCGCGCTGAATGGCATGACGAGGATCGCTACCAGCAGATCAGCAAAGGCTAATGACACGATAAAATAGTTTGTGATTGCTCGTAATCTTTCAAACTTGATGACGCTTGAAATCACCAAAACGTTCCCAAAGACGGCACCAACCATTATCGCAACCATGATGATGCACTTGATGACAAGTATCAATGTCTCCAGAGATTCGTTCCCTTCATTCACCTGGTCTGGCGATGCTGACCACGTGCTGGACACGTTGGTCAAGTTTTCCACCGTCAGATCGGACATCGTCAATGCACGCTGCCCACTCTCCGCGGGACGTGTTGTCAGTGCCCCCCTGAAAGTGTCCGTGGGTTGTATGGTTCTCCCTCCCCGTCCCTTGTCCGTTCCTATGGTCACTATACTACCTCCTCCAGCAAGGGGGCTCATTAGCCACTCGGACAGACAATCACTGCTCTGTCTTAATAACCACTCCGACAAACTTCGTAATATTCCAATTGCACATCACTCTCGGCTTTGTTCGGATAAGCCAGTTAACGCACTCCCGTCGAAACTTGAGCCGCTAATAAAATGTAGCCTCCCCGGGAATCTCTTCGGATGATAGCAAACATTATCCATTGGCATAACGGTCCCAGGAACTTATAAGTGCACAATTTGTCGATGACACCCTAGGCAGATGGGGCAACCCCCACAGCGTGCCGGACAGAGGCAAACAAGTAATATTAATAATGGGAATCCCAAAATAAGCACTCCTTCACAAACTGCGGAAAAGTCTCTTTCCAATTGAACCTGTTTTCCAGGACTGGAATATCCGTAACAGTGTGCCGGATTTGTAGCTCAGCGTGCGAGCTGGCCTCACTGATCCAAACCACTCTGCCACTTGGGGTAGGTGGCACGTTCAACGCTAGCGTGTCTATTGATTGAGAGAGGGAGGCGCTGATGCGGCTGCCCCAACCAGCTCTTCTCCGATCACTGAGAGTAAACGCACGCCGCTTCCCTCCACCAGGCCTCGCTCGCCTCAGACTGTCGGAGAGTCACTGAAGGACTCAACCCACCTACCCGTGCACGGGCGACTGAGGGCGCGGTTTAGCCTTGCTCCAAGGCTGTACTGAAAGATAAGTCCATGGATTTGTAGTAATTCTATCTTCCTAACAGGCAAGTCTAGATATGTGGCCAGTAAGGACTCCAGTCTCCCAAAGGGACTGCTTGTTCTTAATATTTACATAATCTAGAAATTATTATTTAGACTAATAACTATTGCCTTATAGACGTGTGTAAGTCGAGGCGCGTTAACGCTCGCCAGTGACTATCAACTCATTAACTGCCATCTAACGCTGCAGTAAAGCGGTGTTAGCCAAGTCAGCGGGACGCATTTCCTATTGTGTTAGGTTAAGCGACCTACACGAAACTCGCTAATTGCCATGCCTCCATTAGCAGCACTATGCACACCAATGTGCAATTAATATGTGATTGCCATCGCCTTGTTTTGGGTCTCAGTTTCTGATTGCTTTCTTATGAAAGTTGATTATTGATATTGACGGCGAGGATCAATGTCATTAAAGCGTAGGTCTCGCCCAGTTGGGGGTGGAGCTGATGGGAATATTGAGCTTGGAGGGCTGTAGCTATTGTTGCGTGTGGTAGAGCCATAGCTGGGGTTGTAAGTCCATGGTAATGGTAGCTCGGGTTTACAATTCTCCTCTTTAGTTGCTCAAATGAAATATAATATTGCTGGTAACTTGACATAGGTTTTATCTTAACTATGACAACAGAGAAGTCCGTCTGTGCCCCCCCCCCCCCCCCCCTCTCTCTCTCTCTCCCTCTCTCTCTCTCTCTCTCTCCCTCTCCCTCTGTGGTCTATTCTGTCTCCCTCTCTGTCTCCCTGCCCCCTCTCCTCTTTGTGGTCTCTCTCCCCCCTCGGTAGTCTGTCTTTCTCTCCCCCTCTCTCTCCCTCTCTCTCTCTCTCTCCCTCTCCCACTCCCCCTCTCTCCCCTCTCTCTCCCTCTCTCTCTCCCTCTCCCCCTCTCTCTCCCTCTCTCTCTCTCTCCCTCTCCCACTCCCCCCTCTCTCTCTCCCTCTCTCTCTCTCTCTCTCCCTCTCCCTCTCTCTCTCTCCCTCTCCCACTCCCCCTCTCTCCCCCTCTCTCTCCCTCTCTCTCTCTCTCCCTCTCCCACTCCCCCTCTCTCTCTCTCCCTCTCTCTCTCTCTCTCTCTCTCTCTCTCGGACCCACCCTATCCACCATACACGTCCGTTAATGAGTATCATAATATATTATTCTGCTCTAGAAACAATAAGACAAGCCTATCCTAGACCTATCACCACACCAAAGATCAGAATAAAAGTTGTGGACCCACAGGCGGACTTGTGTTGTCAAATGCAGACTGAAGTATCCAGTAGAGCACCAACGTCTACCTGGGATACATGTCACGCTACTTTCATACATGTTTTGCTGGAGTAATTTAAAAAAAAAAAATTCTTTTTCTTAGTGATATTTATCAATTGTTAGTTAGTAGCATACTTTTGTTTGTAACTTTGCGTCTACTGGCCGTGTCATCATTCTCTCGGATGGTTTCGATTCCTATAATATATGTACCCTTAGTCGGTACTACTTCCCCGCTCTTGGGGGCGGTGGGGTAGCCTAGTGGTTAACGCGTTCGCTCGTCACCCCGAAGACAAGGATTCGCTTACCCACGTGGTTACAATGTGTGAAACCATTTGTGGTGTCCTCCGCCGTGATATTGCTAAAAGCGGGGTAAAACAATACTCACTCACTCACTATCCTTCTATTGGATTTCACCAAGTGATGACGTCTACGACTTTCTACACTGAATGCTGTTATGTCGTATTTAGCTGTGACGCTGTGATAAAGGCTGTGTAAAACACAGCGCATCCACTGTTTATCAATTCAGAACACTAAATGGCTGATAATTATGACAAGACTAATGTATGTTTTGATAAGTTTTTCGAGGCATGATATTTGCATTAATTTTATTTACTGATTCTCATGTTACGGTCGATCAGTAAACAATCCTTTTCCAAATGACTGCAAAACTCTATCAGGCGAAATTATTTATTGTGTACGATAGCACCCCCAGCTGTGACCCACAGGCCTCTCAAGTTATGAAAATATCTGTAATTGAAATCATGGAGGATGAAATATCGATGCAATAAACATGAATATGGAAGGTTTACAATCTAAATGACATTTGCAAATAAGCGACCCATGAGCCTAGTTCAAACTGTGTGAGAAATAAACGTATCTATAGTGCCCAACCTGCCTAGGGGATCGCACAATACACGTCATCACACGAGTTGGGTAATCAGCTGAAAGAATGACGTAGAAATGTACATACACAGAGTGTACAAGGACATGATATTAACACGACATGTGGTTTGCAACCATCGCATAGTGACTCCCGGCTCTAGCCCCTAGCCCGGCGTTTATTGAGAACTGTTGAAGTGTGGAGGTGTGATTGTGTTGTATGAGATATAGTTTCAATAGGGTATTAATAACGAGAATGAATGGATGTTGGCTGTGGGGAAGTGTATGTATTAGACATGGATCAAGTTGTTGAAATGTATGTACATTTCCTATGAAGGACATATACGGACACTTGCATACACTCGACAGGATGAAGGGCTTTTTATGATTAACTAAAACTAACCCAGTTTCCATTAAGAGTTGTCGACCTAGTTAGGTCGTGTAAGAAATATTGATATTAGTTCTATCATACTGAAGCGTATCTACACATTGGTAATATCATATGTTGAAATAGAATGTACAGATACTATATTATATGTTGACCATTTATTCTGAATGTCTACAATTATAATTACTGTTTGATATAGTGCGTTCGTCAAAGAATGAGTGAGTACGGTTTTCCGCCGCTTTTAGTAATAGCTAAGCTACTTCACGACGAAATACATAAGTACAGCAGTTTGCTGCTGCTGCTGCTACTACTACTACTACTACTACTACTACTACTACTACTACTACTACTACTACTACTACTACAAATACTAAAACAAAATTAATGATAATAAATACATTGTACAATTCCGAAAAAAACATAATTAAATTGTGATGACACCAGGTGTTCGTGGAACGGTGAGCGGATCCTGTACCACCAGTGGCATCCGTCACAAACACATGCAAAGCCAGGTTAAGTATTCACCTGAAAAGTAAACACGGGAACATATGCTACCAGTCAAAACAGGTAATTGTATCGGACATCAATTTAGTCAGTGATGCGTCCAGTTATGCGTCACTGATGCGATGATAACTAATAGCTGAAGTGTAATGATAATGTATCAATAACGCATACTATTTCAAAATTGAAAGGAAGGCAATACTTTTCTAATTACTGGGATCACCATGCTAGAGTTAACGTCGGCCTGATCAAAGGGACGACAGAATTGAATTTCCTTAATCCTTGAAATCTGATCCTTAAAAGTTATGGAGACAATGCGTTATGTTTACCGTACAAATAGAACATAAATACTAGAAACGATTTTTTTACAAAACTTGGAAATGCCAATCAGTTCTGACAATTCAATTAAAATTTCTTCCAAAGTAATATTCATTCAATCGGAAACCTCGTAATCACATAAATGGAATTTGAGCCGTTTTCAAAACGCTAAATCGTGAGTCGTAATTTCATATTAGGTTCATCTTAGACAGAATAAAAGTCAGTTGTTGCAGTAAAGAAGTTTAGACTTTCTCAGCCGCGTCAATCAGAGCGCCGGGCGTGAACAAATGAGATTGTAAAGCAAGAACGTGCAATACGTCTGAAACACACTGTAAAGTTCAACCCTTCGTCGGTTGATCTAGAGGATACGTGGGCGATGGTCATACATCTTTGTAGAAGGAAAATAGTTAAAGTCAACGTAATCTTCTACTGGTATCCCTATGTTATGATAAACGTTAATGTTAAAACAATATCATATGTAATTATCCTTTCTTATGCCTGAACACATTGACAGCAAATCGGTCAGATCAGAAAAGGATGAAGAACATGATCAGCTGTTATACATTAGTTCCATCCTATGGATGGCACCTACTTTGATTGGCCTCACAACCTGCCTTTCCAATAAGATACACTGACGCCGCATTCAGCAATATTTCAGCTGCATTGTGGCTGTCTGTAAATACACAAGAATGCATCGGACAATCAAGTGATTGACATCATGAGCATCGATCAACACAATTTGGAAACGATGATATGCATCAACCACGTCAGCGAGCCTGACCACCCGACCCTGTTAGTCGTCTCTTACGACAAGCAAGACGGCCTGGATCATTGTTCATAGACTTGTGCGTATAAGGTCTGGACTGACTTATTTACATGATGCTGTGAAACATCTGTACAGTTGATGTCTGCGCCGCAATACAACATTCACTTACTCACTGTTACACTGTAAATAGACTCATATGCCTGGATGTAAGCACGGCTGGCCCGGTGGTGTACGTTATAACAAATGACTGTATAGAGTTGCGTCCCTTATCCGTCCTAGGATCCTCTGATCTTCCCAACCATAGGTTCTCGCTGTTAATAATGTGTTGTGCCAGCTTCATATCTGTACTCTGTTCACTAAAGTGGTAAGTGTCTTTGACCTGCATCTTTTTTAGGACTCCTCCAACATTAAGCTGATATATACATGAAATACTGTTCAAAGCGGCTTTAAATCTATCTCACTACATATATTCCTCTAAACATTCCTGTTGGAAAAATAGGGCTTTTAGAGTCCATTACTTGATTGTCTGGGTTTTTTTCCATCCGCCGTCGCATGGCAGCGTCAGACAGCATCAGGCAACAAACAAAAATTATCGTTATGCAAATTGTGTGTGTGGCGATGCTACCGATAGAGCAGGACATGCTTACCCTTTTTTTACGAACACCTGGTGTCATCACTGATTTTCATTGATCCATTTATACAATTTTCAATTCAATTTTGCCTTTTACGCGCAATGAAATATGTTTGGGCGGAAAATCGAGACTGACTTTCCTCTGGCATTGAGGT